CTCTTTCCTCTTTCGTACAATATTATTCTTTAATATTCGTCTGATGAATCTTCCGAACTATAAAAATAAAGAGCGAGAATTTTACATTCGCTTGATTAACGCTTCAACGGCCGGCTGTTTAATTTGAGGCATATACAACTGGCAATAATTTACGTGTTTTGAGAATATGACGTTTCAGTATTAATTTGGGTAAGTATAATATTACGAAAATACAGTGCCGGTTATTTGAATGTTAGGTGGTCAAGATTTTATTGAATATTAAAATTCATATAAACAGAGATGTATGCCATTTTTCTACTAGATTAAAATTTTCTCAAAAAGAAAAAAGAGACGAATGCGCGTCACAGATCACTCACACCGAATTCTTCTTGCTTGAACAATGGGTAACCTAACCCCGTAATGTAGTGTTGCGTTAAAACAATGCCAGGGCTGCGATACATAATTACAAAGCGAAGAAACTCGCGAACAGAAAGAGGGAGAGAGAGAGAGGGTAACCAGTCCGAAATGAGAGCCGTTTAAATCACCGGCCGCCTCCCAAGATTCAAATGATTTTCCCGCAGGCTGGAAGCCGGCATGAAACTTCTGCCGCGTCTGGTGTACGTCTAAATTGCTTCGAAGCATGAAACTCCGTGCTTAATAAAATGTCACTCGCACCCTTTCGCCGCTGCAACCCCGTGGCACGCAGTCAACTACAGCGCTCGAGCTACACACGGCGAGAAAGTAAAATCTGCGTATCCCGGGCTTCCCTTGTCTATGTGCGCTTATAGACTTTCGGCTGCGTTAGCACCATTGTAATTTACGGTGTAAATTGCTTTTACTTCGCCGATCGTGTCGCGACGATTTGTTGAATTTCGAGAGAGAGAGAGAGAGAGAGAAAGAAAATGGGAAAATGTTGGTGAAATGGAAGGAGTGTTAGAAATTTCGATTCCGCTGTTCGCCTTTGAGGTCTATGTGCGACTCGAAATATTTATTGACGTTAAAACGTACATAGTTTTTTAATATTTCGTCCTAACTTATTCTGATATTTTGCACGATTTTCACGAAATAAAGTGTTGCAGAGAGAAAAAGAAATTCATACTTTTGAGAATACAATTTAAAAAAATAGAAGAAATTTGATAGAGAATTGTTTTTATGTGCCAGATTTTATAGAAAGGATGTTTTATGTTAATTTTTATATATTCTAATTTCTTCTGATTTAATTTTATGATATTTTGTATATTGCACGAT